ATATAGAAGAAGATAAGGAAGAAGAAGAAGAAGATTTTACAAAAAATTTATAAACAGCTAAATGACTTCAAAAATTTGAAGGAAATATAGCCATGGAATTATTCTTTAGCAGTAAAACATTGAACACAATAAAAAAACACTAGGCCTAAAGCTTTAACTCATTACAAATCAAAATGTCCCTGTCCTTCGATCTTGCTTGCGTACCTTGTTAGGTATTATCCATAATTTAATTTTTTTTTCATCTTCTATTGCTTTCAGGAATTTCTAACCACATAATATATCACTTATCTTTAGTGCTGTCTATACAACAATAACAATATGTTCTCTCATTGTTTTCCAGTCAAATGAGTCATACATTTTGCAACATTTCCTAGTTGATGTAAATACCAAACTAGCCCTAATACACATGTCAGACTTGACTGTTATTGGGATTATAGGACTATTCTGTCAGTATTCTTGACTGAATAATTGAATTCTAGAATGTCTGTTGGTAGACGTGCTTTTTTCAATGTCGTCTAGGGATAAGCCTGTCAGCATAACATATGACTGATTGAATTAAAGGGTTGACAAAAAAGTAAACAAAATTAATTGCTTGAATTCTAGGACTAGTTGATCAGCAGACACGACTGACTGATTGATATCCGAACTACCTTTATCGTACTTGAAACTATTCGTAATTGCTAGAGCCCCTTTTCTGTAAGTGGATCACACTAGGAGAGTCTCAGCTGAATGCACATACTTTATAATGATAATTAAGAGCTATCAATCGATCAATCCTTACAGTGTCCGGACCAGGTCATTTGACATAGATCGTAAGAATGTGATTCATTTGACTGATATCCCAAAAACATAGATCCTTATATTACATATCTCTTAAACAAAGATCCCTGAGACACAGATCCCAGTTTGAGAGTTTTTAATGCCACAAATATATGTCCTTGATTGCCTCTGATTTATCCTATCATACCTACTTCCCTTTTATCTAAGATTGTTCAAACAAACGCTCTTCTAGATGAAAATAGAAAAGGTATGTACTTTTCAACTTTTGCTAAACTAATCCTCTGTCTTGACACTCAAGGTTAAATGTTTGCTAAACTAATCCTGTCTTGACACTCAAGGTTAAATGTTTGCTAAACTAATCCTCTGTCTTGACACTCAAGGTTAAATGTTTGCTAAACTAATCCTGTCTTGACACTCAAGGTTAAATGTTTGCTAAACTAATCCTCTGTCTTGAAACTCAAGGTTAAATGTTTTCTAAACTAATCCTCTGTCTTGAAACTCAAGGTTAAAAGTTTGCTAAACTAATCCTCTGTCTTGACACTCAATGTTAAATGTTTGCTAAACTAATCCTGTCTTGACACTCAAGGTTAAATGTTTGCTAAACTAATTCTCTGTCTTGAATGTCAAGGTTAAATGTTTGCTAAACTAATCCTCTGTTTTGAAACTCAAGGTTAAATGTTTGCTAAACGAATCCTCTGTCTTGAAACTCAAGGTTAAATGTTTGCTTAACTAATCCTCTGTCTTGAAACTCAAGGTTAAATGTTTGCTAAACTAATCCTCTGTCTTGAAACTCAAGGTTAAATGTTTGCTAAACTAATCCTCTGTCTTGAAACTCAAGGTTAAATGTTTTTAACAGGTTTGAGCAACATTGCTGAGAATAAAATAATTAAAGTTAATAGTCGACATGTGAAACCAATTGTTAGATTTTTCTTGTTTTAAATAAACTAGTAGGATCTATAACTATAACTATAGCGACAGAAAAGAAAAATTTGCAATGAGGGTTGCAGAAAACAACAAAAATTAACTTAGTTTCTGTTTGCTTTCTGCCTGTGAATTCATGAACAATGTGTTGTGGGCATATTCAGCATTCTTGACATCTGCAGCGGTTGACAAATCCCAAATGGCTAAGTTCCCAAGTTTTACCATATTGATTTTAGTATCATATAATCAACTAAATTATAAAAAAAAACAAAAAAACTGTAATGTTCTCAAGTCAGTAAAATCACGTTAAAAGAGACTTCTCTTCAAAAATTATACCTTTCTACCCTAAATTAAAAATAATTCCCATTTAATTATCATATTATAATGAAGCATGAATGTGTAATTATGAGTCATCATTACCTTTAAACAAACTATGGTCTCAATCCTACAAAAATATACAATATTAGATTTGTAGATATCACAATAGTACTTTTGCAAGCAACAGTAATTTACAGTGTATTAAATATACCCACTGGGAGCTTGAAAAACACTTGTGCACGCTTAGACACAAATGCATACACACACATATACACACATACATAATCATTTAGGTAACAATTTACCAGCTGAACTTGTGTCTGTAATTAAACGGTTTATAACGTTTTCAAGCTGATTTCTCCTCATAACACGAGAATAACGTCTTGACTGTCCACTTGAAATTTCTGTAATCAGTTTTCCATTTCAACATTTTTCTCTTTGGCATTTTTTTTTTTTTTGGGTGACGGGGCGGTCCATTCATGTCATTTTTTTTTGAATTTTCTGTGAAAGCAAATTTCTGCTGGTACTAAATGGCAAAATTATGTTAAAGCCCTAATAACAAAAAAAAGCACACATTACAGGGAATGTTGTTCTTGCTTGATGTGTTCACTGTAATATCTTTTCCATCTTTTGTCACTGACTCTAGAAAGTTTTATTTACTAGTTTCCGTGCTTTCCTACGTATCTTAAAAGACATGGTCAGAGTTGTTTTGATGAAACTCTGTACTGACATGTGGTGAATTCTTGTATGCAAATAGTGAAGACACATAGTTTCTTAACAGTACCACTAATCATGACTTAAAAGTATTTTAACAAAAATTAATGCGTAAAAAATATCAAGAAAGACAACAGTTCTCTCAGAACAGACTTGCAAAAGATATAACCCATCTCTCAACATATCTCCTGGCCACTTACACAACACATGCCAGGCCTGTCATAAATATAAGCACTCTTGCTGTTTATGTTTGGACCTGCCATAACTATAACCATTCTCACAGTATAGAACCTGCTATAACTATAACCATTCTCTCATCTCATGCTAAGACTTAGCATTATTGCAACCATACTTCAGAATTAAGACATACAACTGTACCCTCTCTTACATGTGTAACTATACCCACTCTCTTAGCACACTTAAAACACAAAATGATCTGCCACAACTGTAATTCCTCACACAGTGAATGATATGTCCTGCCATAACTATAACCATGCACACAGTTTATGCTATGACCTAGCATAATTACAACATAAAACCTGCCATTAACTACAGTACTTCTTGTATTGACCATTGTTGCGCTGTAGTCAGGGGGTCATCTTTCAGCCTGAGGTTTTAGGACCACCTGGCTATTGCTGTCCCCACAGACTGTGCATATTAGTAGAATTACAACCACCTTCTCAAAATTAAGACAAACCATAACAACAACCACTCAATTAAAATTAAAAAATACCATAATCATAATCATTCTCTCCTAAATGAGACACTCTCAGAATTAAGACATTCAATAACTATAATATCACTCTCTCAGAATTAGGACATTCAATAACTATAATATCACTTTCTCAGAATTAGGACATTCAATAACTATTAAATCACTTCCTCAGAATTAGGACATTCAATAACTATAATATCACTTTCTCAGAATTAGGACATTCAGTAACTATAATATCACTCTCTCAGAATTAGGACATTCAATAACTATAATATCACTCTCTCAGAATTAGGACATTCAATAACTATAATATCACTTTCTCAGAATTAGGACATTCAATAACTATTAAATCACTTTCTCAGAATTAGGACATTCAATAACTATAATATCACTCTCTCAGAATTAGGACATTCAATAACTATAATATCACTCTCTCAGAATTAGGACATTCAATAACTATAATATCACTCTCTCAGAGTTAGGACATTCAAAAACTATAATATCACTCTCTCAGAATTAGGACATTCAATAACTATAATATCACTCTCTCAGAATTAGGACATTCAATAACTATAATATCACTCTCTCAGAATTAGGACATTCAATAACTATAATATCACTCTCTCAGAATTAGGACATTCAATAACTATAATATCACTCTCTCAGAGTTAGGACATTCAAAAACTATAATATCACTTTCTCAGAATTAGGACATTCAATAACTATAATATCACTCTCTCAGAATTAGGACATTCAATAACTATAATATCACTCTCTCAGAGTTAGGACATTCAAAAACTATAATATCACTTTCTCAGAATTAGGACATTCAATAACTATAATATCACTCTCTCAGAATTAAGACATTCAATAACTATAATATCACTTTCTCAGAGTTAGGACATTCAAAAACTATAATATCACTCTCTCAGAATTAGGACATTCAATAACTATAATATCACTCTCTCAGAATTAAGACATTCAATAACTATAATATCACTCTCTCAGAATTAAGACATTCAATAACTATAATATCACTTTCTCAGAGTTAGGACATTCAAAAACTACAACCACTCTCTCAGAATTAGGACATTCAATAACTATAATATCACTCTCTCAGAATTAGGACATTCAAAAACTATAATATCACTTTCTCAGAGTTAGGACATTCAAAAACTACAACCACTCTCTCAGAATTAGGACATTCAATAACTATAATATCACTCTCTCAGAATTAGGACATTCAAAAACTATAATATCACTTTCTCAGAGTTAGGACATTCAAAAACTACAACCACTCTCTCAGAATTAGGACATTCAAAAACTATAATATCACTCTCTCAGAATTAGGACATTCAATAACTATAATATCACTCTCTCAGAGTTAGGACATTCAATAACTATAATATCACTCTCTCAGAATTAGGAAATTCAAAAACTATAATATCACTCTCTCAGAATTAGGACATTCAATAACTATAATATCACTCTCTCAGAATTAGGACATTCAATAACTATAATATCACTCTCTCAGAATTAGGACATTCAAAAACTACAACCACTCTCTTGATAAAAAGCAAACAACTATCACAAACATCACAAAAACAGATCTGGACGGAAAGTCACTGGCATGTATGGATAAGCTGCTATCCCCTGAATCTGATGGGCTGTATGGGTCAGAAATATACATGGAGTTCAACGTATGTAAAGTCACAGTGGAACGTTCTAATGTAGAAAGTAACAGGGGTGACAGGGTTAAGTAAGATACTATATTTGGGCTGCCTATTTTGAGAAGACTGTGGATTCTTCCTGCCTCACTCTGACATGCTTCAACCTGGGGAGAATTAAAAAAAAAACACTATTGAAGAAAAGAAAATGTCAGTTAAACATTACAAATAACAATAAACACAAGGCAAGAAGTATCAATGTGGTTAGGTTACATTTGATGTGGATAACTGGGGTCTGTTCAATTATTAGGCAGTGAAATTTCTAGTTTCAAAAATCTGGACAGTGTGGGTATGTTAATAAGACACATGTTGGAAAATATATGATTCTGTTGTTGTCGTCATTGTTGCTGCTGTTGATGTTGCTGTTGGCACCTGTCCATCTTTCCCGATGATAGTGTTCTATTGTGCCATCAGGAAGCTAATGAATCACAGCCAATGGTCTGTCAGTTGAGCCCAGGGTTGAAGTTCTTCCTCTCAGTAGCACAAAGCCCGGGCAGTATTTTAGAGAGTGTATGTTATCCTGCAGCATGATGTTTTGCTCGTTCTACTTTGTTTAGACTAGAGAAAAGGTAACACCAATACATTTAGAACAAAGTATGCTGCAGAAGCTGCTGGATCAGAAGAGCAGGGCTCTGTCTGTCTGCCTGTCAGAGCTTCACTTGTGGACAGCTGCCAGGCCTGCAATAACATTCAGTTTTCAGGCTGCATTTCCTCATCCTAGGACACATGCTTCTTTTAGATACAAATTAAATATTCACGCACGTCATCAGGAAATGGGAGCCATGGTAGCACAGTGGCTAAATGCTTGTCTGCCAGCATTGCAGTCATGGGTTCGAATCCACATTAACTCCAAGGTTGACCCAGTTGAAAATGGGTATTAGGTGTTGTCCTGGCAAGTCAAAACAGCTGGCAAGAAGCTGACCACATCACTCATCGAGTGATACTCAGTCTATAAAATGATGGCTCCGGTACTGTATTCCCAGTGAGCAAATGGCGATTAATGGTCCTTTACCGGTTACAGTTACTATCAAGAACTATTCTCTTCATCAAAATGCTAACACATATTCATACCTGCAGCCCCGAAGGATTTGTCACAACCGGAGCAATTATGACAATGAGTTCTCCATTGACACTGACATAGCCAAAGATGTCACATTCCACCAGTGACACATGGTCTGACAGACTGTTCAGAACATCCATTGTGGAGATGACCTTTGAGGGTGTGTGGGCTGCGGCTGCAGACATCAAGCGAGGGTCCCACAACAACTTCAGCTGAGTGGCTAAGAGAAAGATGCAAAAACAAAATGGTAACTTCTGAGCTTCATCAGGGGTACATATCTTCTTCCTTTTCTTTGCGTTCACCTGCCATAAACTGCAGTGGAAAGTTCTGGTTGTTCATCTACTTTTTGACTTTGGTCTTATTTCACAACCTCAGTCTAGGGTAAATGGAGAAAAGTCGCTGTAGCTACAGAGTTACGTGCGAATGGCGACACTGGCGGAGAATTCTTATCAGCTGTCTATACTGGTGGCAGAGCACATATGATTTATAACCGTATGCAGAGACGCTGGTTCACATCTCCCCACTTTACCTTTTTTTATTTCACAACCTGAGTTGTGCGTACACATCATGTTACAGATCTGGCTTATTTGTAGGCGGACTATCATTTATTGGCCTCTCAGGCAGATGTGCTCGGGCTCTGAAGGACACACACCTAATTAGTCCCTTTTAGAAAATGTTTGTTAGGAGGCAGTGCATCTATCTCCCTACTACCCAATGGGGCCCTGCACTCACAAACCCACACAGGGAGGGGTCAATATGACACAAGTAACAGAGGCATGGACTGGCACCTGTCAGAATAAGGAACATCTCTTCCTCAGTCGTCTCCCTTGGGACATAGGGGCAGCAGAATTCGGTTCTCCATTGATTGATTTGTTGTTTATTTGATAATTTATGCTTTATTTATACTATTAATGGTTTATATTACACTTAAGCTTCGTTAATTAAAACACTCCTTTGATTCATACTGTAACACTTCTCTGAATTATTTGATTATGATATATTAATTTACCTCATTTCTTTTTAAATTTAATGTTTTAAGTTAACAGTTGAGGTATTAAACATTTTTATGAATATCTGTAGAAAATTAATACACATTTTTTTAGTTTTCACAGAATATACGAATATGTATCACATACATACAGTATCATGTTCAGTTCAATAATAGTTTGAGTGTTTACCACAGATAGGACAGCATGCTCCTGGGGGTACAATCCCAACACAGTCACTAGGATACACAGGTGGGCACTTCACTCGACTGCAGGATAATGTCTTGGTCGTTTTACCAGCTGTGTACGAGAGAAATCATACATGTTGTTAGCCATGTAGGAACAAAACATACTCACCTATGTTTATAATTTATTCTACTTTCTTTTTTCCCCCTTCTAATCTCCCAATGGAACATAGGTCATCCTAAACAGCCTGCCATTCCTTCGATTGATTTGCTTCAACTGGTTGGATTTTGCAGTAACAATTGTCTGTGTGATTGGATAGTCAGTATGATGCCAACACTTCTTTGTGTCCTCAAACATCTTTTATTTTTGTGAAGTTTATTTGAAAAATCTTCCATGCCCAAAGTTATTGAGTTAAAAATTCCAAAAGGCTCTTAAGCCCAGGGAAGGGGTAAAATTAAGCTCTGTTCCCAAGAAATACCCTCAACATGGGTGCCTGTGATAGCAAAAGTTAAACTCCTGGCCTTCTCCTGGCAGAGATGTTTAAAAGAACAAGAGTCAAAAGTGGGTTTCTTATTCCTGACAAGACGCTTTGGGCAGCTGAGGTTCATCAGTCGCAGCTCATCTAAAATAAAAAGACTCCTAATTCAAGCCTCCTTCACCTTGTGGCATTACCCTACTTAGGGAAGGGCTTCGGTAGTACATTGCTGCTCCAGAAATTCCTACAATGTTGTTGGTATTGGCATTTGCCCTTCTCTTAGAACTACCAGCGACGTAACGAGGGGGTACCTGCTGCCTGTGCCTGTACTTTAATTCAACATGCCGTGCCGGTGTCTTGGAGAGGTCACTCATGCATCACTTAACAGTTTCTACCCGACACGGGAAGCAGCAGTTACCGGTTACAATCCTGTGCTTGATTCGCACACAGCAAGATGTCAGGAGTTTCTTTTGGCTGTGGGATAGATTACTGTAACTCACTTGGACAGCGATCACTCACCTCAGCTTTGCTAAAGATATCTAAAGGCCTGGGAAAGGCCTGGGAACTTGTTTGCCAGCTGACTCTTACCTGTGAGATTGCCAAATGCTCTACACCTGCTGAAGTAGTCCACAGTTACCCTGGCAGCCTTGGCAGCACACTCACTACTGTAAGTCTCTCCATCGTGACCACAGACAACTCCCACATCTGAGCAGGAACTCTGCAGATGCCAATAAGTCATTGTATGAATGAAATCTCACTCTGGAATAAATGCTAAGAAATCATTGCATGAATGAAACTTCACTTTGAAATAAGTACCAAGACATCACTGTATAAATGAAACCTCACTCTGGAATAAATGCCAAGAAATTATTGTATAAATGAAACCTCACTCTGGAATAAATGCCAAGAAATTGTATAAATGAAACATCACTCTGGAATGAATGCCAAGAAATTATTGTATAAATGAAATCTCACTCTGGAATAAATGCCAAGAAATCATTGCATGAATGAAACTTCACTTTGAAAAAAATACCAAGACATCACTGTATAAATGAAATCTCACTCTGAAATAAATGCCAAGAAATTGTATAAATGAAACTTTACTCCAAAATAAATGCCAAAAAATTGTATAAATGAAACTGATCACAGGTGTAAATGCCAAGAAACCATTGTAGGAATGAAACTTCTCTCAGGAATAAATACCAACTGGCAATCATAAAAATAACCAAGCCCTCTATATGTTATTCACTATGTTATGTTTTTGATGATTTCCTGAAAGCCCCAAATACAATTTTACGATAACATCATAAAACTGAAGAAACAAAAAATTAATAAGGGGATTCTCAATTTCCACTTCAGAACAGAGTCAGCAGCCATTAAACTGGATCATTCCAACATGCATTAATGTACAGATACAGACAGCTGTTACTCTTACTCAAATTAAAACAAACAAAACAAGGGTAGCGTTGTCTCGCTAAGGACATTAAAAGGCTACATTTTAGGGAAACCTTATTTCAGTCACCTAGATCGTTAGATCATCTACGGCAAACCAGACAAAAAAAAAATCTGTAAGCTGCAAAGAGTATATTACCCAAAAACGGAGCTAAAAAGATAGCTCAAAAGCTGCGGAGTAGGTAATTAAACAGTACAGGAACTACAACAATAATAACAGCTAAAATAATATAAACAACAACAGATGCAAGAAAAAAAAATGGCAAATACATGTTAGGATTTACAGCTATTTTAGTCACAGAACTGCTAAAGCTCATTATTTCTCAATTTAATGTGCAACCAAACATAAATCAACAATTGTATTATTGTTGCCTCATTGGCCGGATGACCAGTTTGTACCTGGCAATGTCCCCTGTATCCCAGAGTCCTTCTGTGAGTGAAGAGCATGCAGATGTTGGTGAACTCCTCCTTGGTACTGCTGCAGGCTGGATCATGAACATGGGAGTTACATCCCTCTATCTCATCAACTGCAAAAATCAACAGAATTATCTGAATGTACTGAGAGATTATGGTTCTGAAATTAAAAGATTTACAACACAGCACAGGTCTTGCTATTGTTAACAGATATTAAATGAAATTAAAAGTATAACTAACCAGCTTCTCATTATCACAATTACAAACAACAAGCGGCTGTTATGGCCAGAAACCCTTCATCAGCACATTATATGAACAGATATTTTAATATTTACAAACAAGAATACAAAAAGCAGTGGTTTCTAACGATATCACATCACCCCCACCCCCTTCCAGTCTCTTGGATCATGAGATCTGATACCCAGCCTTCTCAGAGAGGGGTGAAATAAAAGGTCCTATGTGCAAACTGTGCAGATTTAAAAGCCCAAGGCAGCTGGAAATCAAAAAGAGTTGGTGGCAAGGTCACAGTAACAGCAAAATTGTTAGGAAAATAAACCTGCCCACGAAAAAATGGATCTTGGTACCTTGGGTGGTTTAAATTCTGAACACTTGAACTTGAAGGTATGGATTATAATATAATCCCTGGAGAAAATACTCAACCACAACTTGGATGAAAAGATTATAATTCCAGTAAAGATATTATTTTCTCAAACTCAAACACACATCATCATTCCTAGTATGGATGATGTTCAGTCATCTTGTTCTTTATGATGTTCAGACATCTTGTTCTTTATGATGTTCAGTCATCTTGTTCTTTATGATGTTAAGTCATCTTGTTCTTCATGATGTTCAGTCATCTTGTTTTTCATGATGTTCAGTCATCTTGTTCTTAGTGATGTTCAGTCATCTTGTTCTTCATGATGTTCAGTCATCTTGTTCTTCATGATGTTCAGTCATCTTGTTCTTCATGATGTTCAGTCATCTTGTTCTTCATGATGTTCAGTCATCTTGTTCTTCATGATGTTCAGTCATCTTGTTCTTCATGATGTTCAGTCATCTTGTTCTTCATGATGTTCAGTCATCTTGTTCTTCATGATGTTCAGTCATCTTGTTCTTCATGATGTTCAGTCATCTTGTTCTTCATGATGTTCAGTCATCTTGTTCTTCATGATGTTCAGTCATCTTGTTCTTCATGATGTTCAGTCATCTTGTTCTTCATGATGTTCACCAGTAGCAGAACATTCTGGTTGTTTGTTTCCTTCTGGATTTAAGTCTTGCTCCAGAACCTGAGTGCTGTGTGCACACCCATTTTACAGATATGTCTTTTTGTGTGTAAGCAGCTTGTTAGTTTCTTGCTTCTAGGGCAGACGCACTCAAGGAAACACATTTAATCAGGCGACTTTTACAACATGCTTGCTGGGGTGCGAGGCACTGGATCTATTGTTTGCCCCCCCCCCCTCCACCCCCTGAAAAAAAGGGACCCCAGAACCCACATGGGGACGATTTGTTTCAATCAAACTTGATGACAGTAGCTACAGTCAATAATGACAGTAGCTACAGTCAATAACGACAGTAGCTACAGTCAATAACCTCAGTAGCTACAGTCAATAACGACAGTAGCTACAGTCAATAATGACAGTAGCTACAGTCAATAACGACAGTAGCTACAGTCAATAACCTCAGTAGCTACAGTCAATAACGACAGTAGCTACAGTCAATAACGACAGTAGCTACAGTCAATAACGACAGTAGCTACAGTCAATAACGACAGTAGCTACAGTCAATAACGACAGTAGCTACAGTCAATAATGACAGGACTTCTTTTCATGTCATGAAGCTCTTTGGACATATGAACATAATTTTAGACCATCTAAAACCCAATGGACTTTATGGTTAACATCACATGGCTTCCTTTATTTACCAGGAAATTTCTCAGAATCAGTTGCAGAAAGAAAAGAATAAGATTAAATGCTAAAAAAAAACATTTGAAATGTTAAGATAAAAGGACATCAAATGTTTCAACAGTAGGTGCAATGACCTTGACACTAACTTACCACACTCAAATTGTGGGCAGTAATCTCCAGGCATCTCATTCAAGCAGGTCTGATGGCGAGGCACACACTTGAGTCCTGTAGGACATGGTTTGTGAGTGCAGACATCTTCATCACTGCATGCTTTGTTGGCAATAATGTTCGTGACACCTGCACATTTTGCCATGCAGGAGTTAGGATAAGTCCTTCCGTTAGATCCACAAACTGGCGCATACTCTGTTGGACAGTTGCCAGGCATTCCTGGAAAGTGATGGTGATTTAAAGCTCTTGTTAATTCTCATGTCTAGATGAACTAAGCAGTCTTGACCATCAGCAGTCACAACAACACAACACAAATATGCATACAAATATACTCTTTACAAAGCAGAGCAATATATAATTTCAATAAACAGATTCTATGAATGCCAGTCAAGTACCTTAAAATATTTAATGTAAACTGCTTGGACTAACAAATGGCATCTGACAGCAAAATAGCTGACATGACAGTCCCTCAGTGTCACATCAAAATCAACAACACAACTCGGTGGTGTAGAAAGCAGGCACTGACTGCTGTTGTGCAGATTTGAAGAATGACTTTAACAACACAATATGTAACTAGGAAGCTTGAAGTGTGTTCCCTTTCACAGAATTTCCTAGTGGCACACTCAACATGACCACTGACTATCAGATTATTGACCACACTCAACATGACCACTGATTGTCAGATTATTGACCACACTCAGCATGGCCACTGATTGTCAGATTATTGACCACACTCAACATGGCCACTGATTGTCAGATTATTGACCACACTCAACATGACCACTGACTATCAGATTATTGACCACACTCAACAGCATGACCACTGACTATCAGATTATTGACCACACTCAACATGACCACTGACTGTCAGATTATTGACCACACTTAACATGGCCAATGACTGTCAGATTATTGACCACACTCAACATGACCACTGACTATCAGATTATTGACCACACTCAAAATGGCCACTGACTGTCAGATTATTGACCACACTTAACATGACCACTGACTATCAGATTATTGACCACACTTAACATGGCCACTGACTATCAGATTATTGACCACACTCAACATGGCCACCGACTATCAGATTATTGACCACACTCAACATGACCACTGACTGTCAGATTATTGACCACACTTAACATGGCCACTGACTGTCAGATTATTGACCACACTTAACATGGCCACTGATTGTCAGATTATTGACCACACTCAACATGGCCACTGATTGTCAGATTATTGACCACACTCAACATGGCCACTGACTGTCAGATTATTGACCACACTCAGCTATTATAATTCAAATCTGTACCCTAGCTACTTACTCCACCATTTTACTTCAAAAATGTACCACCTACATTACTTTTTAACTTCAACAGTCTACCCCTTATTCCACAATGTTATTTCTCAAACCATACTAAGCTTACCACCCATAACCTGACTCATTACTTCACTGCAATTTTTACATTAAAAGTTTATATGTGCCTGATGGTTTTATACTAGACACTGATGATAAATGCAAATTAATCTTTCATTGATGATAATGTCAACAACATACCTGTGTACAAAGGTGAGTGACTATCCGGTTGACAAGATCGTCTGGAACACAACACTTTCCCAGCGTAGCAGATACATTGACTTCCATCCACCGTGAACTGTTCACCGTGCTCTAAGACAGAACAAAGCATCTGGGATAACTCTTAGTGAAGGACATTATCAGAGCCATCAAAATTTAAGTGTCTGGGATAAATCTCAGTAAAGAAATTATCAGAGGCATCAAAATGTAAGCAACTTGGACAAATCTCAGGGAAGGACTTCATCAGAGCCATCAAAATGTAATTCTAGGATAAATCTCAGTGAAGGACTTCATCAGAGCCATCAAAATGTAATTCTAGGATAAATCTCAGTGAAGGACTTCATCAGAGCCATCAAAAGTTAATTCTAGGATAAATCTCAGTGAAGGACTTCATCAGAGCCATCAAAATGTAATTCTAGGATAAATCTCAGTGAAGGATCTCATCAGAGCCATCAAAATGTAATTCTAGGATAAATCTCAGTGAAGGACTTCACCTGAGACATCAAAATGTAATTCTAGGATAAATCTCTCTGAAGGACTTCACCTGAGACATCAAAATGTAATTCTAGGATAAATCTCAGTGAAGGATATCCTCAGAGCCATCAAAATGTTAGACTAGGATAAATCTCAATGAAGGACTTCACCTGAGACATCAAAATGTAATTCAAGGATAAATCTCAATAAAGGAATTCACATGAGACATCAAAATGTAATTCTAGGATAAATCTCAGTGAAGGACTTCATCAGAGACATCAAAATGTAATTCTAGGATAAATCTCAGTGAAGGATATCATGAGAGACATCAAAATGTAATTCTAGGATAAATCTCAGTGAAGGACTTCATCAGAGACATCAAAATGTTAGAAAAGGATAAATCTCAGTGAAGGACTTCATCAGAGACATCAAAATGTTAGACTAGGATAAATCTCAGTGAAGGACTTCATCAGAGATATCAAAATGTTAGACTAGGATAAATCTCAGTGAAGGACTTTATCAGATACATCAAAATGTTAGACTAGGATAAATCTCAGAGAAGGACTTCATCAGAGACATCAAAATGTTAGACTAGGATAAATCTCAGTGAAGGACTTCATCAGAGACATCAAAATGTTAGACTAGGATAAATCTCAGTGAAGGACTTCACCTGAGACATCAAAATGTTAGACTAGGATAAATCTCAGTGAAGGATATCATCAGAGCCATCAAAATGTTAGACTAGGATAAATCTCAGTGAAGGACTTCATCAGAGACATCAAAATGTTAGACTAGGATAAATCTCAGTGAAGGACTTCATCAGAGACATCAAAACGTTATAGCAATCAACAAATCAATAAAAAGAGGATGCAAACATGGTTAGCTTTGCAAAAACACAATAATGAGTGACAGAATAATAGTTGCAGCCTAAAAGCATTTAATTTAATTAATTTTTCTAAACCTTGTAAGTGCAACCTCGCCTAATGAGCATAATTTGTTCAGAATCATGCTTGTAAAGCGAAACACTCGTTATGCGAAACCATTTTTCTCATATAAATTATTGTTCAATACGATAATGTGTTCCATGTCGAAAAAATACTCACAAAATGTTATTCTAATGTTTATTCAAAGAAAATTGTATACATAATGTTAAGGAGAGTGAATCATCTTTATCTTTTCTTCAACCACAAAATGAACCCACCTGGAGTGCAAATTCGATTTGCAGAAAAAAAAAGTCGAAATAATTATGATACATAGCTAATAATTTTTTCTAGAAAGATGTCCATAGACATTTGTTTTGCAGATGCTTCTAAATTTGGCGAACATGCGACACAGCATTATCATTAAATAAATTTGCAGCGTGCACAGCCACTTCCTTATTAGGGTGTTGCTTCTTAATGTAAGATGCAACAGTTTCCCATGCTTTTAGCATTTCTCTTATTTCACCAGAAGATTGTTGCTTTTCTGTTACCTCCTCCTCCTCTGACAAACTTTCCTCTAAAACTTCTTGCAGTGAAACACAATGCAACTCCATAAGCTCTTCGGTGGCCAGCTCTTGACTGTGCTCTTCCACAAGCTCTTCGGTATCACTGTTATCCACCTCCAATCCCATGATAGTGGCCAAAGACACAATCTCGTTGACTACAGGTTCCACAGGTTCTGTCTCGAACCCCTCAAAGTCACAAATCGACAACGCTCCCTGGCCAAAGCTTCTTCCAAGCAGAAGTTATGGTTCTCTTGGTAACCCCTTCCCCTGCCTTGTCGATCATCTTGAATCAGGCAACGATGTGGAAGTGATTTTTCCAAAACTCTTTGAGAGTGAGGTTGGTCCCTTCGGTCACCTGAAAACAATGCTCGAAGAGTGCTTTAGTTTATAGCTTCTTAAAGTTAGAAATAACTTGCTGGTCCATGGGCTGGAGTAACGGAGTGGTGTCTGGAGGCAGAAACTAGATCTTGATGAACTTCAATTCTTCAGAGAGGTCATCTTGTAGGCCTGGAGGATTCATGTACATATATCACAATATAACACAAGTTTGAGAAAATGTGTGATCACGAGCGACACTACAATGCTACTGGAAAGAGTGCTAAACACAGACTGATGTAACATGCGCACAATTCGGGACATTCCCTCTCTCGCCACTCGTTATGCGAAACGTCACTTGTTAAGCAGGTCATTTTTTTAAAATTTGTTTTGCTCGTTATGTGAATTACTCGTTATGAGAGGTGCTCATTAAGTGAGGTTCTACTGTACACTATTGGAAAGGAAAACTGTATCGTCTGAGTTATGGGATAGGATTGCTTCCAATTTTAGTATATATACACATATACACACAGAGATATATACACACATATGTATGTGTGTGTGTGTATACACACACACACACACACACACATATATATATATATATATATATATATATATATATATATATATATATATATATATATATATATATATATATACATATGTATATATGAACAGGTACTCTTTTCCATATAATCTCATTAAAAGAAATGATTAGTAAGGCAGACTTACCTCTGGTATTATCATGTCCTAGGACACACATATCACGTCGTAAACAGATCAAAGGTTTACAATTCTCAATATGGCCACGGCTGCTGCAGTGACAGGTCACATGACAATCCTCCTCGCTTAGTGCTTCATTCAGATTGGCTAGTCTAACACTACTTCCTTTTGGTACCAGAACCTTGGAAACCTGGCCCAGGGGACAAGCTGTGAGCAAACAGAAAAATAAATGTTTTTCAAATCAACAAAAGAGCATTTGATAGTCATAAAGCACACCCCATTAGGTCTGTACCTTTTGATTTTTGGAGATCATAAGGGAGATAACTCAAAATCATAAAATAACCCATCTGAACCAGACAGCAGGCTACCTCGTAATCTTAGGATGTCCCAGGAAAACTGTTTTTTATGGCTACATCTATGGCCACATCATGTTGAACACAAAAAGAGACAAGACAACAGAGAAACACCCAAACAGGCACTGAAATGAGAAACAGAGGGACTGAGGAAGTCCGAGAGAAGAAGTCACATATGCTTGACTGGATTCTATTCATGATATCAAAGTGGCTGAAAAGGATAGAATGGAATGACTAATAAAGACTGTGAGCCCTATGTGCACAATAGGACAATGACTGAACGAATACACCTAATGAAAATGTCAAAATTTGTTTCAGTTGCATCACATTGGAACAGTAGCTCTTCAAGTCACCAGGTGTCAATATATATTGTGAAATTCCCACAGTAAATAAACTCAAATTAATTTTATTTTGAAATGAGGACAAACATTCTTGTTTACAGCTGTCTTACAAATCTGTTTAAAGAAAGTACATTACTACTCATGATGCAGCTATCAAAGAGAATTAGATCATTAGACAGAAAATAGACAACAAGCAGACAGACATTTAAAGAAAAATTTACAATTTTTCACAATTTTAAGAGCTCTGTCATTATCAATGTTAATCTCCCTGTGGGTCGTGGGACTCCAAAGTGAGGTGAAAAAGCACAGATCCACTACTTCTTAATAAGCATGTCGTAAAATGCAACTAGTTAAGGTGCTGGTCAAATTAGATGTGTTGGGCCAAAAGGCACAGATATCACAGCTTAGCTGTAAACCACAACACAACTTACAGCCATTTAAAGGTGAGCACAAAAAAAGAAAAAATAAGAAGGAAAGCATGGAAGAATTAAATGATAAAATGAAAGAATGATGAAAGGTTCAAAAGTTAGCTGTGTATACTATACATGATGTTGGAGAACCAACCCCAGCATTTCTCGTCTGATCTGGTTTTGCTAGACAAGTTTATGTTCAGTAGAGGAATGAAAGACATTGGATACAACCAGAAGTGAATAATGAAAAAAACAAACACAAGACATGAGATATTTTTGCTGGCCTCACCTCTGTGGCACACATACGGCAGACAATCATCTGAATGCTTACACTTGCGCCGCCTCACAAGACATACTTCATCCACTGAGCAGGGGTTGGGGTTACATGGATGGTTCACCTCCAGCGTGTGACTGGCATGGGGGCTCTCATCTGTGATTGGTTAAAAAAGATAAAACTATTTTTAGTATATCTGCTCACAAGAATGGTATACAGAACATACAGCCAGTTCTGCATGAATGATGATGATACCCTGGACAGATAAAAAAAGCAGAGAGAAACTGACCCACAAAGAGAACTTACTGTCAACATGAGAAGGAGCCAATCTGCATTCTTTGGTCATGTCATGACAACGAGTGTATTGTGACGGTTGGGGAAAAGAGGCAGAGGGAGACCAGGAAAGAAAATGATAGACAGTTTGACATCATGGCATGGAAGATCATATGTGTCAGAACTGATAGTGGATGAGACAGAAGGTTGTGGATAGACATGATTACTAATGGTGCATAGCGTGGATTATAAGAAGAGGAAAAGAAAGTAATTGTGAATCATAGATAAGAAAATTATGAACTATTGGAATGAACAATCTAGCCAGATTAAAATGAATCACATGAGTTAAATGAAATAAATATTATTACTTGTCCTGGATCAACAAATAATAAAGAACTTAAAATACTCACACAAATATGCATCCATAGAAATGCAAGCACCTGGTATGTGTTTTGAGGGGAGAGCATTACAAAGAGCTGGCACAGTTTTGTCCCCTGACAGCTTTGTGGCATCCACACATTTAGTTAAGATGAACAGACAGTCTTCTCTGAAGAATTAACACAAATGGTCATGTCAAATTAGATCAGGGAAAAATATTCAAATGAATTTATTGTTGGATGAAAAAAATTGTTTCAGGAACTGCCACACAAGAACTGGGTCATCCTTTTAAGGATGTTACAACTCTACTCACTGAATGTCTGGTGCAAGATATGTTTTTGTGTGGGATACCTAATAAAAAAATATGCCAATGTCAAGTGGCATATCTGTGCTCTATGGTTGATTTGATTCAAGAAACGACATCACAGCACTCGGGCATTCCCATAAGCACTCCATCCCCATCTTCAGCAGCCAGCGAATTCCGATACTAATGGTGCCAGTAGCATTTTGACTAAACGTCTGTCTTGCCTTTCCCTTGAGCCTCGAGCATCTGCCAGAACCTTTCGTCACTCCCCACTGCATCAATCTCACCAGACTGGTAATCCATCTGCTCCTCCCCAACTGTACACGCTCTCCCACAAGGCACTAACCACGTCTGCCTTATCATGTATCAGTATTTCACCATCAAGTTGTGCAGAGCCAGCCAGTCTGTCTGCCTGTTCTTTTCCCAACACACCTGGGTGGGGTATATTTAAACACTCTTTACAAGCTTATTTTTTCATTGAGCTTTTTTTAAATTAAACTTTTGTGCACTTTCCCAATAAGCCCAGCTCCTAGATTTGTATTTATAAAATAAATACAAACACAATCAATGCTTTTCTGATTCGGCAGTTTCTATAGCATGCTTTATTCCAGATATACTGGTGTTCCCTCTCCTTTGTAGTAACATAGCAGGTCGAGAGAGGGATCATGCTACAGGGGCGACAGTCTCTATAATACTTCCCGGGAGAAGACAAATTTCATCTCTGGACTTGACTGGTATTGACATCGCTATGGGCTCTGGTTCTCATCCATGCCCTTCTCTTCCCTTCTCCATAGCACAATAGAAAAGATTCTCTGCAGCCATTCGTGGAGGTGAGGAAAATATCAGCACATGCAACATGAAAGCTGTGAGAAGCACAACAGATCACGCCAGATGGTAACAGAAATTATAACATTAAATGATCAAACAGTTATTTTAGTATCTTGTTGAACAATCGGACACAACAGATGACTCACTTGCACAGTGTGAAAAGGCTCTGCTGGGAGCTGCAGGGTTTGATCTCTAGGGCACACGCCATAGCCTTCCACATGGCTGGTTTACACTGGCTGATATCTGCAGGTGGAAAGCACAAATGTGCAGATCAGTATCATAAAATAAATGCTCTTAGGTATTGGAATGCTATGAAAACGAGAATTCTTCCTTGCTACATACATCCAATTTTAACATATGGCTGTGAATCCTGGACAATCGGTAAGCAGGCCAAACAATTTCTAGAGGCCTCAGAGATGTGGTTTTACAGAAGAATGCTTAGAATACCTTGGAAAGACAAAAAGAGCAACCAAGAGATTTTGAAAAAGGCGGGAGCCCGAAAACAACTTATCATAGACATCAGAAGGAGATTTGTGACAATGGTCTAGTGACTGCTAAACATCTGTGCCCGTCACTAATCCCCGTCAGATAATCAGATAATCAGGAAATGCAGTGTGGCTGCAGGTGTTCGTTGAAAAAAAAAAGACAATAATTGTTACGAATATTTATGGAAGCAACATTACCAGCCAAGGCTTAATTCCAGCCGATCTGTGTGTGCTAAGCTGTACCATGACCTGGTTACATATTAATGTGCCTCCCCACAAATGTGAAATGACCTCATTACATATTAATATACCTTTCCACACATATGAAGTAACCTGGTTACATACTGTTGGTTAGTTTCGTATCCTTTACAGGACGTTGCAGAACCAACCTCAACAGCACCTGGCTGTTGTGTGATTTTTCTAGGCAAATTTACGTCCAGTAGTTTGCCATTTCTTTCTGGTCGGTAGAATTTTTTGATACCACTGTCGAAACCAACGCAAGGCGCAAGGCCCGCAGCTGGTATCGAACCCGGCACCCCGGCATTACGAAGCGTTCGCATTAATTTAGCCACTGAGCCGACGGTACATACTACACAGTTTTAAAAAAGGCATAGTTATCCTACGGCTCTTTTGTGTAAAAAAAAAAAAAAACCCACATTGTTATAAGATGCCACGTTTTTGATTCGCCCAACGCCTAAAAACTAGCAATGACCCAGGATGCATAACAAGTGTCAGTTGATTGATTGACCCCAAGGTATTCTTGTGGACAATCTGACAAATTTCACTCATCAAACTACAATGATGGTCAATGGCACAATTATGTTCTTTTCAGTAGCTATGTGTTTCATTTCCAGTAGGAAACTTCCATCGGATAATTATGCATAAAAACCTCTCGACAGATGTAAAGTGACCTGGCAACATACTAATATATCTCTCCGCAGATGTGGTGACCTGGATACATATTAAAATACCTCTCCATTCTATGAAGTGCTTGTACCAGTATTGCAAACAATGGGGATGTTTATTTATTTCAAAACTTGAAGAATGAGAGGACAAGCATTCAGTAACTGTCAGATGAAACTTTGATGGTTGCGACAGAACAGTCTATAAACCAACATTATTCTGATTGACGCCATCACTTTTCAGGCGCAGGTAAATACCAATCCATCAAAGAGTTGCAGATTCGCACACAACCAACAACATCATCAACAACAGGAAACTGACCTTTAACAGGGATCGTCATCTGAGGCAAATGAATAACCCCATTTTTCCAGGAGTTGTACACTTTGTAGGCAGAATCATCAGCTTCGGTTGTACAGCTGCGAAACAGTTCGGTGGGCCGGTGGTTGAAGTTGCTACAAAATGACAGACCCCTGCATCCAAGCTTACATGGCTGGTCCACTGTAGGAGATGACATCAGGATTGATTGCAAACATTGCTCAACATAACATTACAACATCAGGAGCAATTGCAAATATTGCACGACATAACATTACAACATCAGGAGCAATTGCAAATATTGCACGACACAACATTACAACATCAGGAGCAATTGCAAATATTGCACGACACAACATTACAACATCAGGAACAATTGCAAATGTTGCACGACATAACATTACAACATCAGGAGCAATTGCAAATATTGCACGACATAACATTACAACATCAGGAGCAATTGCAAATATTGCACGACCATTTTTAAGTGGTTTAATTGAAATAAACAGTTCTATCCAGCTTAAGGGGAAAGAATAAACGAATGAATGAACAAGCAAACTTTTTTTTCATGTGTATCCTATATGGCTTGGTCACTTTCCACACAGTGCCTACTGAGAACATCACAGAGAGCACGAACTCCATAGCTTGAGCACCATCCCCAAGGGTCTCCACAAAACTTGCACTCGTAGACCAAATAAGACAAACTAAACACCTTCAGACAAACGACTTTAACACTTTGCCACAAAAAAACCTCTAAAAGTAGAATTGAACTAACTACACCATGAAAATGAACACTTGCACACTAGAAAATATCACAACATTCTACAAGAGAGAAATAGTTTTGCAGATATATACAGCACAATCTCAGCCTACTATCATCATCATGTATCTGACCAGATGATGTTTTTTTTCTTAGTCAACTCTCTCATGAGATTTCCGCGTAATGCCGTCTGACATCATCCAGCCTCGTTTCCACCAGGCTGCTTCTGTCTCTTCTATCATAGAGTTTTGCGGGGAGTTTTTTTTCCAGTTTTTTCACTGCCTGTCTTCTCTTCTTATCTCTCTCTCTCTCTCTCTCTCTCTCTCTCTCTCTCTCTCTCTCTCTCTCTCTCTCTCTCTCTCTCACCCACACACAAACACACACGCGCGCACGTGTGTTCACGCACGCACACAAAACAGGACTATCCCTTTCTTGTAGATTACAGTTGCATCGAAGGCTTTCAGAAACAGAAGTGTTGGCACTCAACAGAAAGTAAATAACACAGGTGCCGGTACTCGCTTTAAAGTGCCCATTATAGTTGTGATGACCTCAACAACAACGACAACAACAACAAAAAACTTGCAAAAAAAAAAAGAGCCAGCAATGGGTACTGTTGTGTGGTGCCAGGGAAAAAAGTGCCAGCAGTAAGTCCCGTTGTGTGGTGCCAGGGAAAAAAGTGCCAGCAGTGAGTCCCGTTGTGTGGTGCCAGGGAAAAAAGTGCCAGCAGTGAGTCCCGTTGTGTGGTGCCGGGACAAAAAAGTGCCAGCAGTGAGTCCCGTTGTGTGCTGCCATGGAAAAAAAAGTGCCAGCATAGAGTCCCGTTGTGTGGTGCCAGGGACAAAAAAGTGCCACCAGTGAGTCCCGGTGTGTGGTGCCGGGACAAAAAAGTGCCAGCAGTGAGTCCTGTTGTGTGGTGCCGGGACAAAAAAGTGCCAGCAGTTAGTCCCGTTGTGTGCTGCCAGGGAAAAAAAGTGCCAGCATAGAGTCCCGTTGTGTGGTGCCAGGGACAAAAAAGTGCCAACAGTGAGTCCCGTTGTGTAGCGTCAGGGACAAAAAAAGTGCCAGCAGTGAGTCCCGTTGTGTGGTGCCAGGGACAAAAAAGTGCCAGCAGTGAGTCCCTTTGTGTGGTGCCAGGGGGAAAAAAAAGCCCTGGATGTTTCCAGTATTTTACTGTTAGTAGTTTTTTTTTTTTTCTAGACAACTGTTGTCAATGACTCTGTCCAAGGTGTTCAGAACATTTGTCTCAGACACCACATCTCCTCTGCCTTTCAAGGTTCCCTATTTTGTTCACGCACATTCCAAGATTTACCTCCGAGGTTGACGTAACAATTCAGTTTACCTGACAACATACAAAGATGAAATAAATGCACTCAAATGGACTATACTATGAACAAAAACATACCATCAGCCAGACAATTGTGTAAGTTTGATTCTACTGTTGAAACAGGCTGCATGTAGGAGCAACTACTGTCAAACTCTGTGTGGTAGGACCAGCCGCTCTTGTATGTCTGATAAATATAGGATACCATATGTATAAAAAATACATAGTGATGAATCTGACACAACAGTGTAACATAAGAATGTGATATAATAATGTAATAAAACGTTATGATAGATTAATGTGATGAGAGATTGAATACGATATAAAACTGTGATATGAGTGTGTGATTTGACAACTGTTACAATAATCGAATGCAGACGGATACAGAGGAATGAATACACTTAACAGATTTTCAACGTGTCACAAACTGGGTACACACGTTTTTCTGACATCTGGCTTTTCCAACCACTCACCTTTCAGGGAGTAATGATATTTTCTGAATCGTCTATGTTTAGTTCATTTAGTAATAAGTATACTAAATTTATACACACACATAAAAAACTGTGTGAGAATCACATACAGTCATGCATACACGTGTTCATAAAACAAATATGAGTGTGTGATATGAAAGACTAATCAAATATTGGATCATTACCATTATTTCTTTGTGATATTTAACTCGCAGCTTATTCTTTCATTTTGTTTTGCAAAAAAAAAAACTTTACTCGGGATATTCTGACCGTGAGTTATTAAGGCAGTATGGCCTGTGCTGTCGCCATAAACTATGCAGGTTACAATTTAATTTTTGCCCCCGAAAGAGGAAAATCCCCAACTTTACAAACTTCATGTACAGGAGAAGAGCAATCAGCTGCAGTAGAAATGAATGGCATCAACCACAAGACTGACCTGTGTACAAAGGTCTCTACACCTGTGAGAAGATGCCTTGCCGCAGCACTGTAGTTTGGCATTGTCAATACGTGCCATGGGTGTGGTGTCATTCTTCTTGGTGTTCGGGTTGTTGAGAAAGCACTGCCACAGTGGGTCCTGGAGATTACATGCATCACATTTCATTCACTACGTTTGTTAAATGTCTGTTTCTTCACTGTTTTAACTCGTTCAGCACCACACAGCTGTTACTCCAACTGTCTGATCCCGATGTCTGGGTATATTAAAACAATGTTTAACTCTTTCTCGCTGCTCTGAATTTTAAAAGGTTTATCTCTTTCCCGCTGCTTGGAGTTTTAAGAGGTTTAATTCTTTCACGCTGCTTTGAGTTTTAGGAGGTTTAACTCTTTCACGCCGAGAAGCACCAAAACTGGCACCTCTGGTACGTGCGATGCCCCCGTAAGTGCCGCTTTACAGGCGCGGCTATAGCGACTTGTTTGCGTGGATCCTTGAGATGAACTGATTGGGTTTGCACTTGCTTTAATTAATAAAACTAGCATTTGTGGGTATTTTTTTGAGATAATTTTGCTTTATAGACATTGCAAGGTCATGATTTTCCGTTAGATACTGGGATTTCCAAGAGCTGGGTCGCAGAGTCACAATTCAGTCATCCTTTTCATTGTCATTAAAATCAGAAAGATTTAACCCAAGTGATTCTCTGCTACGTTCGTTTTTAACTGATTACCCTATTTCATCTGTGCTTAATTAATTGTTTGCTTGTGTGAGTTGTAATGTTGTGAATTCCAGGGGAAATCCCAGAGAGTTCCCGAGTATGGGGACAAGGTCAGAGGACCAGTGAAACAAGACGAAAGTGTGGAAAGGGTACAAGAAACAAGATGTTAGCATGATTCAGATGTATGATCTGAAAGATAATGGCAGAGAGAATCACAGTGTGAGATAGATGGAGATGTTGTCCTTATTCAGCCCTGCGTAGCAAGCACGAGAACACAAGTGAGCGACTAGACAGTACGGTTGAATAAAGATCAATAACTGAGTGTTCGTCGTCTGGTGTATTCCTAGTAACTTTGTATAACTAAGAACGCCAAAATAGCAACTAGACGAGTGGAATCAAGCCCTAGACAGAGCCTCGCTGCATTAGAAAATTGAACTTTCAAGGAACTATTTGTGAGAACTGTGTAGAATGATTGTGTGTGTGTGTTTTTTAAAAAGAATTTTTTTTCGGAAAAAAACCCTGAAATTCAAGTGGCGTTGGCACTGTTCTTTTTAAGTCACTGAGGCGAGAGAATGAATACAACTACCGGATACAAGTTACAGTAACCATTGAAATAAACAGATTTATATGTGTAGAGGAACTGAACAGAAGCAGCTAAGTAATTAATGTCATGAACTGAGTCATTAATAAATGTATAGAGTGTTGTTTGGTATTAAAAGAGATCAAAGGCGACTGAGGAAGTGACACTCAGTCTGTCAGCACACTGGTTTGTCTCATGTGGAGGTGGATGTTGTGGAAGCACAGCAGTGGACAAGTCTGTGTGCTGGTGTGGAGGTGGATGTTGTGGAAGCACAGCCGTGGACAAGTCTGCCTGCTGGTGTGGAGGTGGATGTTGTGGACAAGTGGACAAGTCTGCCTGCTGGTGTGGAGGCGGATGTTGTGGAAGCACAGCAGTGGACAAGTCTGTGTGCTGGTGTGGAGGTGGATGTTGTGGAAGCACAGCAGTGGACAAGTCTGCCTGCTGGTTCAATTGTAAACACTTTTAAAGAAATTCCTAGCCATCCCCCCACCCCCGCCCCCCTCATTGGTTCCCAGGCCCAATTTTGAGCCGGAAAAGGATAGACCAATTGATCGTCCTCACAAGCGTTTAGTGAAAGCTGACTTATTAGAGAGGTTTCATTCGAAAGGAATGCATCTTCATGAAAAAGCAAGGAACCAACAGTCTGCATACAAATAACTTTCGGGTAAAAGTTCTGGCTGTTCATCCATTTTCGAACTTTAGCCTGGTTTCTGAGTTTTGCACACTGATATCACAGTCCTAGCTCACTTGTATGCAAACTGTTGATTCCTCGCATCTCAGGCAGATGCAACGACTTGGAAGGAAACCAACTTAATGAGTCATCTTGTAAGACATGTTGTTAGGGATGTAGTGGATCTTTACCAACTTAATGAGTCATCTTGTAAGACATGTTGTTAGGGATGTAGTGGATCTTTACCAACTTAATGAGTCACCTTGTAAGACATGTTGTTAGGGATGTAGTGGATCTTTACCAACTTAATGAGTCACCTTGTAAGACATGTTGTTAGGGGTGTGGTGGATCTTTACCAACTTAATGAGTCACCTTGTAAGACATGTTGTTAGGGATGTAGTGGATCTTTACCAACTTAATGAGTCATCTTGTAAGACATGTTGTTAGGGATGTAGTGCAACTATACCAACTTAATGAGTCACCTTGTAAGACATGTTGTTAGGGATGTAGTGGATCTTTACCAACTTAATGAGTCATCTTGTAAGACATGTTGTTAGGGATGTAGTGGATCTTTACCCACTTAATGAGTCATCTTGTAAGACATGTTGTTAGGGATGTAGTGGGTCTTTACCCACTTAATGAGTCATCTTGTAAGACATATTGTTAGGGATGTAGTGGATTTTTACCAACTTAATGAGTCACCTTATAAGACATGATGTTAGGGATGTAGTGGGTCTACTCTTTTTGCCCCTCAAAAACCGTTATCTGTATGCTTTCTTCACCTTCCCTAGGGATCAACATTATCTGTGTTTCTAATTTAGCACCGGCCACAAACAGGATAGTCTGCTGCAGATCCTCACCAGCGCCACTTAGTTTATCTGGCAGGGTGGCTGTTGTGAGCCAGATTTGTTTAATCTGTAGAAAGTGACAATTTAGCCTGACAAACTTTGGCTCCTGGCTGAACTCACCGTGGGCTGGGGCTGGGAGCAAGCCTGGATCAGTTCATCCACGATGTCATCTTCGGACATGACAGTCTGTAAGACAGTACGACAGGTAGACCGACAATGAGATGTCTGGGCTTTATCACAGCAGGGCAGGTCTGGGTGATGAAATCATTTATAAAGTCAATTATTAAAACATCATATGAAAATGTCCTCGCAATAAAACGTCATGTAAAAAAGCCAGAAAAAAGCCACAGACCGTGTTGTGTGGAGGGGGGTACATTAGGAAGGGAACGAGAATGAAGATGGAAATGATTGCAGAAACGATGAGAGCTAGGCGTCTGAGAAGAAACAGACTAAACACATATGTTGATAACATCGGTTCAGAAATTCCATGTTACAATTATGGAAGACCTTTTTTTTTTTAACGCGGGCATGTAACATTGGTGTAGACAGCTTTATGATACATGGGAACAGACTCTGACACAAAGAGTCTGATATATCCGAACAGAGTTTGATATATCAGAACAGAGTTTGACATATCATATCAGAGTTTGACATATCAGAACAGAGTTTGACTCATCAGAACAGACTTTGACACATCAGAACAGAGTTTGACATATCAGAACAGAGGTCGACACATCAGAACCGAGTCTGACACATCATAACATAGTCTGACACATCAAATCAGAGTTTGACATATCAGAACAGAGTTTGACATATCATATCAGAGTTTGACACATCAGAACAGAGTTTGACACATCAGAACAGAGTTTGACACATCAGAACAGAGTTTGACACATCAGTACAGAGTCTGACACATCAGATCAGATTTTGACATTTCAGAACAGCGTTTGACATATCAGAACAGCGTTTGACACATCAGTACAGAATCTGACACATCAGATCAGAGTCTGACACATCAAATCAGAGTTTGACACATCAGATCAGAGTTTGACACATCAGATCAGAGTTTGACACATCAGATCAGAGTTTGACACATCAGATCAGACTTAGACACATCAGATCAGAGTTTGACACATCAGATCAGAGTTTGACACATCAGTACAGAGTCAGACACATCAGAACAGAGTCTGACACATCAGAACAGAGTCTGACACATCAGAACAGAGTCTGACAGCTTAAGGAGACATCAAGACAGAGCTTACAGTTCTCCGAGTTGCCACTCTGCGGGTGCCACTGTTTGTGCACACACTGCTCCACGGGTTTGTTGCCGGAGTTACAGTGCTGGGCCAGTATAGTGCGGGTGGCTCGGGTGCTTCCTCCGCCGGTGATGTAGATTCCTCGGCACACAACGCCACACGATGCTGTTGCTTTGCTGCAGCACTGGTTGCCTGCTGATAGTTGGGGGAGAGGGGAGAAAACGATATGAGATGGATGAATGGACGGACATGTCAATTAATGGATAACTAAATATATGTGCTGATGGGTGGGAAGATGGATGGGAAGATTGATCATTGGCAGCCAGTTTTTTTCATTGGTTCGCCGGTAAACGAGTTCGTCGTCGGTCAGGAAAGTATTTGGGTACGTCTCCTTTGATCGCACCAACACTGTAGGAATCCTTTTCAGGGCTCGGTGGCGGGGAATGCTAAGAAATTTTATAGGGCACACATAACCTAGTCACAAATATAACCTAATCACAATTATAACCTAAAGCTCCCTCTTTAGGGATGCTGGTTAATCATGACGATTTTGTTGTTGTTGAGTAAAGCAACAGAACCAAACAGAAGATGGATGGATTAATAGGTATATGGATGGATGGATAGACGGATGGATGGATAAATGTATGTCTGAATGTTCAGGCAGACTGGTGGATGGATAAATAAATGTCTGCATTTTCAGGCAGACTGATAGATGGATAAATAAATGTCTGCATGTTCAGGCACACTGATGGATGGATAAATGAATGTCTGCATGTTCAGGCAGACTGATGGATGGATTAATGAATGTCTGCATTTTCAGGCAGACTGGTGGACGGATAAATGAATGTCTGCATGTTCAAGCAGACTGATGGATGGATAAATGAATGTCTGAATGTTCAGGCCGACTGATGGATGGATAAATGAATGTCTGAATGTTCAGGCAGACTGATGGATGGATAAATGAATGTCTGAATGTTCAGGCAGACTGATGGATGGATAAATGGATGTCCGAACAGGCAGATGGGTGGATAAATAAGTACAAATGTGCATGGGTGAGTAAGTATATGGATGGATGGATGGATGGATGAATAGGCTGATTACTCAGCAAACCTGCCAACTGTAAGACTTAACTTTGATTTAGCACCATATTTCTAGTGCGTCACTGGTGCAAAAAAAGATCCGTTGCTGTTTTTTAAACCCGTGAAATGATCTCCAGTGTAGTCGCTAACATAAAGTGTGTACTTTTTGTTTTATTGTAAACAGTTGTTTCTTACTTGTTAAAACGATTTCTTGTAAAATGGCGACATTGCGAAGCTTTTTGCCCATAAAAGAATACTATTTAATTTCCACCCAATAAAAAAAACCAAAAAAAAAAAAAAAACCACAATTTTGAACCAGCGACGTTCCACTGCATATATCCAACAACGATCCGTAAGTCCCTAACGTTTTCACAGTAAAGTAGGTAGATAAATCACTATTTTGTCACAGACATTCGCTGGATGATGTGGTCAGCACCACGCCGGACGCCTTTACTTAACGGGACATTCATTACCAAATACCTCATTTAGGATGGCATTACTGCTACTATCTGTTTGTTCCCGTCGCACCAGTCTATATGTCTACTATTACGTTTTTTTTTCAAATATACTTTTAATATACTTTTATTATCATTTCATTTTTTTCCCATTTTTCTTTTTAAATGGTATTGTTTTATTTATGAGTGTGCTGTTGAAGGCTTCATAGCCACAACGTTAAAGTTTTGTTTGTGTTTGTTATATTGTCAAGCTTGCTGATATACTTTCCGTTAGGTTTTATATCCTTTCCTAATTTAGGATGGATCTTCTTCTTTCGTTGGTCTGAAATAAATAAGTTTTCATGTTTCCTATTTAGTGCAGGCCTGGAGTACGTGTTTTGCTATCTGCAGGGAAATTCATGGCTGATATATATATTTTATATTTCGTGTACATTTTGTTGCGTAATTGGTTGCGACCTGTTCCGAGGCGAAGGATAATGAATTGTTGTGATCTGCTCCTAACAGAGTGGCCGTCTTGTGCTAGGACTGGAGGTTCTCTGATCCATTTCATGATCTTCATTTACAGCTATGTAACTGGCACACCCAGCTGCTCTTTTGTCGCACCCCTACCCCCTCCGCCCTCCTCGACCATTAGAATCAGGCTCGGGGCCAAGGTCCATTTTTAAGGAAAAAATATCTAGCAGATGCGGATTCGAACCCAAGAAACTCGGGCCGGCAGGTGGAAATAAAGCCACTACGAAACCGTGGCAGGCTTTACAGCAGTACAATAAGAAGGGACAGAATGAATGCTTCGGTTAGAAAGCTTCTGCTTCTTTTTATTATTCTTTCTTCTTTCTTCCTTTTTCCTCCTTCTTTTTCTTTCTTTCTTTCTTTTTCTTTTTCTTTCTTTCTTTCTTTCTTTCTTTCTTTCTTTCTTTCTTTCTTTCTTTCTTTCTTTCTTTCTTTCTTTCTTTCTTTCTTTCTTTCTTTCTTTTTCTTTCTTTCTTTCTTTCTTTCTTGTCTTATTTCTTTCTGTCTTTCTTTCTTTCTTTCTTTTTTCTTCTTTCTAAGTTTTCTTATTCTTTCTGCTTTCTTTCTTTCTTTCTTTCTTTCTTTCTTTCTTTCTTTCTTTTTCTTCAATTAGTTGTCTTATCGAAGTGTTGGGGGAGGGGGTAATTGTTAGGATCTTCTAAGTGCTCATTCTGATGCTCTTAATACATTTAACTTCCCTTTTTAGGCTGTTCTTAGGGATGTCGTTCCATCACT